TATAAGATCCAGTGGTCCCTTCTTAATCTCAGTGTTTTCTCTCTGGTTTCTGCTGCTTGTGGTCAAGAAAAGAGGAACTACAGTAGAGTAAGACTGTCTCTGTCAGAGACCTATGACATAACTTTTATTATAGTACAATGGACATAGCTTTTATTATAGTAATTATTATAACTATTTTATTGTTAATCTCTTACTGTGTCTAATTTAAAAGTTAAAGTTTATCCTAAGTATGTATGAGTAGAAAAAAACATGTTATACACAGGGGTCAGTACTATCTGAGGTTTCAGAAATCCCTTAGGGAGTCTTGGAACATATGCTGAAACAGACAAAATGAAACTAGTACTTAGTCAAAATGAGAGACATAGAATGGTGCTTGCCAGAAGCTCAGGGAAGAGGGAAGGAGGAGGAATGGAGAGTTATAATTTAATGGGTATGGACTTTCAGTTTTACAAGATGACAAGAGTTATATAGATGGAAGGTGGTGATGGATGCACAACATTAAGAATGTGTTTAATACCACAGAACTAAAATTAAAAATAGATTAGTAAGACAGTAAAAGTTCATGATATATAACATAAATTTTCCACAATAAAAAAAGATGATGCAATATCTAAACAATTCTAAAGGCAGGGTGGTAGACCAAAGGTTGTGTCCTCAAAATTTATATGCTGGAGTTGGGGATTTAGCTTAGTGGCACTGTGCCTGCCTCACAATTGCAAGGTCTGGAATTTTATCCCCAGTACCAAAAAAAAATGTATATAATACACACACACACACATGCTGTTCTATTCCCACTGTGGCTTGTGTTTGGAGTAAGGAAGTATTTAAGGTTAAATAAGGTCATAGGATGAGGCTTGATTTAACAGGCTTAGTGTCTAAAAGATATCAAAGAGCTTGCTCTTTTTGTGCACATCTGAGGATACAGCAAGAAATTATGTATGTAAACCAGAAGAGGGCCCTCACCAGAAACCAAACTGACCAGAGCTTAGATCTTGCCTTTCAGTCTCCAGAACTACAAGCACAAAAATTTTGATTGCTGTCTACTCATTTTCTTTAATCTATAGCATTTTCTAATAGCTGCCTGTGCAAACTAGAGAAAAAAAATGATTTCCAATCCTAAAGTATGTACTCAAACTATAGATCAAGGGCACACAAAGAGACATAGTCTCAAAAGGTTTACCTCCTAAACACTTTCTCATAGAAAACTAGTGGAGACTGGGCTCCACTGAAACAAGGAAGATCCATAAGAAAGACAAACAGAAACAGGTGGTCTCTAGGAAAAAAAGTAAAAAATCTCCAGGTTCAGGGTAAAGGAAGAGCAGGGAAGACAAGTGTACACTAAGCAGAGAGTATACCTGATCAGAATGAAGCAGGGAGAGTTCAAAAAGACAGGGCTATTGTAAGTGAACTTTTACAAGGTCTAAAAGTTTGAAGCAGAATCAGTGTTAAATGGATTTTTAAAATAAGTAACACATTTTCAGAGAAAACAAAAAGTTGTTTAGGAAATTATTTATACTTTACCAGCTAATACCTATAAATAGCACTTGTGTGTGGTCACAAATAAAGCTAAACACTGTTTTAACCAGAACTATAATAAATCTGTTACAAGGATGGGGATTTAAAATGGGGGAAAGAGGATACAATAAAGAAACAGAAAGAGCAATCCTCATCTATATATTTCCATAGCAGAAATCAGTAACAGTTTACAACTTTAAAAAATCAAAAAATATACACATAAGTACATACTCTTCAAATATGCTACTTAATTGGCTAAGAGTCTCCAAGTATTACAGTTGCATTGGGCGAACGGTTAAGGGCTGCTGACTTTAAACTATGGAAAATTAAATTTTTTACTTCAAAAATTAATGAATTCTAAGGCTAGAGTGGCAAACGGTACTGTTTTGGCCAGATAGATGCCAATGACACAGAAGAGAAGGCCCAACACTCCCCAAGAGGTACTTTGTATTTTTCCTTTCTTTTCTTCTGCAGCTGCTCTAAATGCCTGGCAGTTCGGTTACACCCAGCAGCCTTGGTGGCTCCAGGAGATATTTACTTTGTTTGTAGCAGCATCCAGTCACAGGTCCATACTAGATGAACCGCCACTCCACCCTCATCCCCACCCAACAGCCTCTCTGGATAGACTTCCTTTACCCTGCAGCCATCCTTGATCAGGTCTACAAGGAGCCCCTCTCCTAACACATTACTAAACAGAAAACCTGCCTTTTTATTCTGTGTAAGTAACTTCTCCAAAACCTTTAGTGGATTAGTATATGTACCATTCCTCCCTTATGCTGCAGGAAAAGTCCAAATAAAGCCACTTTCAAAGGGTATATTTTTGTCTATTCATGACTTCTATCTTAAGTACAGCATTCTGAACTGGTTCACTAAAATCTGATGTCTTAGTTACTTTCCTCACTACTGGGACACAATGCTCAACACACGCGCAACTTAAAGAAATGGTTTACTTTGGCTCATATTTTTAGTCCAGAGTTGGCCAGCTCCAAGGTATGGAGGGATAGTAAAAGGGTCTGGTGGAGTAAAGTTGCTTACTTCATGACAACCTGGAAGCAAAGAGAGTGAAAGAAGGACCAGCTGAAAATCTATGCTAGCAGTCTGACAATTCCAGCTATTCACTTAATGAAAGACTGAAGACAATTAAACCTGAGCATCCTTTTCTTCAAATATAAAGGTGGAGTTAATGAAGTCTAAATTTTCTTTACTTCAGTAAGGGGATGTTGATGGTAACAGAATTTAGACAGGTTCATACAGGAAATGAAGCCAGTTTTCCCATTCCTCGCCAGTAAAGAATCTATCTAGCTGAAGGTATCTAGACTATGAGACCAATGAAAAACACTAAGCAAGAAAGACATGTTTGGTTCAAATGTTACAGATGATGATGGAATACATGAAGATAATGAAGATTCTCCCTAAACATTTGAAAAAGAAAAAGGGAACTCTGGCCAGGTAATTTTTGGGAAACCACTGTTTTTACCTCATAATTAAGGGACAAAATGAGAAAGGATATGAGGATATTGGCAGCAGCAAGATCATTGAGATTTGCAGTAAATTACAGAAAGATCACAGCCCAAAGTCTAGACTCAAAAGTAAGAAACTCTCCTTCTTACTGGCTTTAGAAAGTTCTAAGGCAGGCCACCTCAATCTATGTCATTCTAATATGGATCTCAAGGATTGCAATGCTCCAAGTATCTTCAAACAAGCTCTTAACAGTTAAGTCTAAAGAGGTAGAAGATAATGATATGGGATGATAACTTACCTCTATAATGGCTTGTTCATCATTTTACCTTCAAAGCCTAGCACAATGTACAAAACCTTGAATATAAAAATAATTGCACAAACATCCATAATTGGGAGAAACAACCTAAATTATACTTCTATGTCTTCAGAGGCATTTCTCAAAAACAAAAATATTGGTAATTCTATCAGCTAATTTCAGGAACATCAGTAATTTTAACACAAGCCAAGGCAAGAATACCAAAGTTTCTAAACCATTAATCAAAAATCCATACCTAAGGGCTGGGGATTTAGCTCAGTGGTTCCAGTGCCTGCTTTGCAAGCACTAGGACCCGAATTCGATCCCCGGTATCCCCCCCAAAAAAAATCCATATCAAAAATGTAAAAAAGACTACCATGTACAGCACATAACAGCAAGGCAAATCCACAATACCACCTTCTAAAGGCACTATTCATATATGTGAAGTACTTTTTTGGCACCTGATTGAATCATTATCACTGACTAGCTATGCACCCTAATGGACACTGAAATCACTACAGCCATACATGAAGCCAACCCAATCTGAATTGCTATTAATAGGAAGCCAGGTCACAAATTGATAAATGAGCATCCACAGTAAAACCCAGAAAACCACCTATGCCTACTGTAACAATGGGCAAGGATGCAAAACAATGGTACAAGTGACTACCCAATTCCAATTACCAAGGTACAGGTAAATTAGCCCTGCTGAGGTGCACCTAACTTTGATGTAAAAGCAAAAAATTAAAAAACTAGTCATAACCAAACAGGCCAAGTCAATCTCTCAATAGCGTATACTGATCTTACACAATTTTGAACTGTTTGTCAAAATCCAGAGTACAACAGCAAGGAAGACACCATTTCATATGATAACCCAATGGTTAATATTTGAGATAAAAATACGGAAACTGTGGGGGAGTAGAAAGAATGGAGGAAGGTAATAAGAAGGTACAAAGCCTCAATAAAGAGAAATAATGTTTTTCTTTGAGATATTATACAGCATTATAGATACAGTAAGTAGTATGTTTCAAAATTGCTAAGAATAAATTTCAAATATTCTCACAAAAAGTGGTATTTAAGCTAAGAAATACACAATTTAATTAGATGTTTACTCCAAACTGCTTTCATAAATTAGATCACTTTAGTCTTCACAAATATATAATTATACTTTATCAATTTACAGTTAAAAATTTCACATAGGTTTGTAGGTTATCACTGTCATTTTAAAAAGAGAAAACTCAAGTCACAAACAACTGCTCCACTTAAAATTGAGGCAGGTCTCTTGACCTGATGACATAAAGGTATTCTCTTAACCTTCTGAACCACCCAACTTAATGGGGAAGACATACATCAGTTCAGTCAATATTTGACCATTCACCTCATCTCTCAGAGTTGTTTTCCTATCGATAAAATGGGAGGTTTGGGCTGATTGTTTAACATACTCAAATCCTAAAATCTTTCATTTCTATGGATCTAAGAAGAAATATAAATGAAACCAGACTACTCAGAGAAAAGGTAAAACAAATTGATGTATGCGTACCAGTCTCAAGTTCTTTGTTGTTGTTGTTTTGAGACAGGGTCTCACTATGTAGTTGAGATTGACCAGGAACTCACTATGTAGCCCAGGCTGGTCTCGAACTAACAGTGATCCTCCTGCCTCAGCCATCCAAGTGCTGGGATTACAGGCATGCATCACCACGCCAGGTTCTTAAGAAATAATATTTTTGAGGTGGGGTGTACTGATCTAGAGCTATTACAATACCAGGTCAATGTGTGGAGTGTACAAAGCAAGCCTCCATTTGATCTCCCTAGTCCAAAAATCCATTAAATGTATTGTGCTTTAAAAAGGAAGTATCAAATGGACTAAGAACAAAATTATGTATTTAATCGTGGTCACAGGACCAAGAGGCAATAATTATGTAAATATAAATAACAACTTAAAAGTAGAGAAAATCTCAATGACAATTCAAAATTGTGCAAGATCAATGTACTTTGCTGGGAGACTCATTTGGTCTGTTTGGATGTGCTTAGTTTTACTTTTTGCTCTAATACACATAAAAATATACTGCAATCTTAAAAAAAATACATACTGACATTTAGAAATGGGAAGAAAGAAGCTAAAGGTGTAGGGAAGGTGGGATGGGTAGGGGAAGGGTAATAAGGGAAAAGAAAAAAATGTGAGAGAATGAAAAGATGAAAATAAAGTGTTTGTAGATGGGGAGGGAGGAGGGGGTGAAGGGAAGGCAGGGGTAAGGGGAAAAAATGAGAATCAAGACTTGTCATGTAGAGGTACAAGATCCCAACAATGAATGTAACTGTACTGTATCCCTAAAATGTACCAATAAACTCAAAGCTGAAAAAAAAATTTAAAAAGAATTAAAAAAAATACAAAACGGTCAGCAGAACCAGTTTCATGTGGGTGGCATGAGAACTTACAGTTCATAAAGGATGAACTCTCTCTTTTCTCCACAAGTTGACCAATAAAGTCTTCCTCTTACATAGTTAAACCCCACTGATATATACTCAGGGCTCTCACATAGCTTTAGATGTTTGCTTGCTTTGCTGAAAAGTCAGACTTAGTAGCCGGGCGTGGTGGTGCACGCCTGTAATCCCAGCCCTCGGGAGGCTGAGGCAGGAGGATGGCTGGGAGTTCGAGACCAGCCTGGGCTACATAGTGAGTTCCAGGTCAGACCCAACTACATAGTGAGACCCTGTCTCAAAAAAAAACAAAGTCAGCTAAGTAAAACTTGATGCTCTCTTGACAGAAGCTATGGTTATTTTAGGTGCAATAAGGTAAAATGGAGTGTGAATTCATCCATAAAGCTTGTAAAATATGTCATATACATCTTTCTGAAATATAAAACAGAACACAGTCCCAAAAAAGAATCCTGATAGGTATATGAAAAAGGGAAAATGGATAATGACTCATGTAAAAAATATTAAAAAGTAGGCCAAGCAAAAATGACATGCTTACCAGAGTTCTTGTCAAAAACACATTTCCACAGCTAGGGATTTAGCTCAGTGGTGCTGCCACCTGCCTTGCAAGCAGTAAGACCTGAGTTTAATACCTGGTACCATAAAAAAAACCACACATTTCCGCAAACCTTCTGTGGCCTCCACCAGACCGTCATGCTTCTCAATCTTTAAAGTGAGAGAGAAAAAAATCACTCTCAAAGAATTTCATTTCTAGCATCACAGAAAAGATCTCAAAAATTCTTTCTTGGAAAATATGAATGTTTTTTACCTGGTACATACTTTCTTTGTTTTACTGCTGGCTTCAGGCCATCACCCATGACCATTTAGTTTTCAAGCTTTGCTACTACAAAAAGTGAGAGTTCCCACAGGAGGAACTGCTGGATAAAAGAACACACTTCTAATTAGATATATATGGTCAAATAGTTCTACATAGAGGTAATACCTACCACATTTCCCAACAGCAATGTGTGAATGCTTGTTTCCCCACACCTTTGTCAACATGTTTGCTTTTCTCTTATGAGTGGGCATTGTTTGTATGTTTGAGAGCCATTTATACTTCACTTTTCTGTCAACTGTTTATATCTTCTGTCTATTTTCCATTGGGCTGGTCTTCTCAATGATCTGTAGTGGTTATTTAAAAATAAGAAAATGAGCCCTTTGTCCGATAGTATACCCACTTCAGTTTATTCTAATCTGGTATCTATCTGTACCACTCAACTCAAACAGCTCTCTTCAAGTCACCAATGACCTGCAGATGGGGGTAAACTCAAATGAAACTCTGGTCATTTTAACCTTGCTCTAAGCAGCACTCAATACAGTCAACCCACAGACTTGCCTCATCAGCGGTTCTCCTCAGTTTCTTTGATAGTGGATATTTTGGTGTTCTCCCTGGCCACTTTTAATCTCCTTACCTGGGGAGAAAGGGGGTTCCACCTTTCCTTTCTCCTACATAATTGATGGTTTCCTACAGAGCTCAGGCTATGGACACTCCCTATCACACATTCACTGAAAGTAAATTCATGTTTATTTTATTCACAATGTTTCCCCAGCAACTGAAACAAAGCCTGGGGAGACTCAAAACAAGTTTATTTGAATAAATGAAGCTATTTTTATGGATTTAAAAAATAATTATATAAATATTAGTTATGGTCCAAATTTATAAAACCAATGAGACCATCTCTACATTTCAAACACAAGTACCCAACTACTAGCACACATCTCTTCTTGTGTCATAAGCACACTGTAATAACACCAAAACAGAACTTTTGTTTCTCAACATAAGCTGGCCACCCTAACCTACCAAACCTTTTTCCCTAAATTTTCCTTGTCTCAGTGAAAGGCACACCCCAGTTGTAAAAGAGAAACTGAAGATTAGCCCCAGCTCCTCTTTGCTCTCCCAATCCAATTCAGCAACATCTTATCAAATCTACCTTCTTATTCCCCTTCTTACCATCTTCTGTCACTACCTGGAGGATAGAAAAAGTTATCTAATTCATCTTCCTTTATCTCTTTCTCACTCTAAGCTATTTTCTACTTGAGTTCTTGATCAGAGATCCCTGCTACTCATGTGAACAATAATGATACAACAGGTGTGGAAACACATGCCTAATCCCAGCACTTGGGAGGCTGAGGCAGGAGGACCAGCAAGGGTTTGAAGCCAGCCTTAGCTACACAGTGAGTTCAAGTCAAGCCTGAACAATGAAAAGCAGAAAAAAAAAAAAGGTAACAATGATTTAATTTTAATCTACTCCATCCATCCAATATTGTAGCTACATGAGGTGGTTCCTGAACACTTGAATGTGGCTAGTTTGATTTAAGATGTGCTATGAATATGAAAATCCACCACCTGCTTTGCAAGCACAAGTACCAGAGTTCAATCCCTGGTACCAAAAAAAAAAGTTTATTTATTAAAAAAAAAAAAAAAAAAAAATTTTATGGGGCTAGGGATTTAACTCAGCAGCTCCACGCCTGCCTCACAAGCACAAGGTCCTGAGTTTGATCCCTGGTACTGGAAAAAAATTAAAAATTAAAAATAAATTTTAAAAGTTTTTATGATCAAAGCATAGAAAGCACTGGGTCTGGCACAGGACAAGCACTCAAATATTTGCTGATGGAATTACTGATCAAAAACTTAGTGACATTTTCATATAGTAACAAAAAACAAAACACCTTTTAAAAACTCTTACTTAAGTTGAATAATTTTAGGAAATGTTTATGCTAATCATGTCCATACTAATCACCTTGCCATTAATTTTTCATCACCAAAGTTCCTGCTCAGATAGACTGAGGAAGATTATAAATTCAAAGTGGCCAAAAAGAACCTCAGAATTTTGAGTCATCAGCTCTTGAAACACTAGTCATATCACAACTCAAAGAACAGCCAAAAGAGAAGGAAAGCTAGTAGACAGTACAAGGAGAAAACAAATAGGTCACAAACACTGAAAATCAAGTCATTAAGACTTAGACCCATGCTGACCATGCCTTTGCATAACATTAAATTACCACAGAGGGTGTGGTCCACTCAAAATGACAAGGCTAGGTCAATGACTATACTGTCATACCAAGGAGAACAGAAAATGTGCTGTCATATGGCCTTGAAAACACAAAGGATGGTGTAAAGCTGCATTCCAAAGTGACAATACGACATTTTAATACAGAAGAATCGAGACCTGGATAAATTTCAATGTGGTTTAGACTGGGAGCCCTTAAAATTTTTCAGTTTGGCTCCACAGTCTACTGCCAAAGAATCCAGAAAAGTTTTTAAAAGTTCAAGACCCAATTACCAATGTACAAGAAACACAGGTTACAAAATACTGTGAGAACACCACAGAACAATCTAAGTCTCCCACAAATAGACAGTGGAGTGGGAGACAAGAATGGGGAAACTATACATTTAAAAAATGGGTAAAAAATAAAATTTAAAAAAAAATGGGTAGATCTTATTTGAGTCCTGACTTGCCAAAATAAGAAAATTCTGGAACCACTAGAAATATAAAAGTTGTGACAGTATTTTATTTTTTTCTGGTACTAGGGATCAAACTGAGGACGCTGCACTTTTGAGGAAATTGGCGGAACCACTGAACTAAATCCCCGGCTGTGATAGTTTTTTAATTGCTATGGTTAAAACAGAAATTTTAAAAAGAGTTATTGTTATGATATATACTGATACGTTTATAAAAAAAAATTTATTATTTGGGAATTTTCTTCAAAATAATATGGGCAGGTATGACCATAAGGGAAAAGTCAGAACTTGCCTTACTCAAAAGACATGATAATAACCCAAAAAACAGGCAGACATTCACAGTGTGTGTATCTATCAAAAGATCTGTATTTAAAATAAAAGACTCCTACCAAGTTCTGTGTTTTAAAATATGTCCACAAATTCTCTAGCTCTTCTTTCAGAAAAGACCCCATTCCCCTCTACTTGAATGTATTGTTGGCCTTCCTTGACTGGCTCTCTTCTATGAACTGGATGGCAAAACTGGATGCCACGTGACCTCCAAAGCAAGGTGATAAAAATGACAGCTTCCCACAGTGCTCCTCTTAAATCACTGTCTCAGAAGAAGTCATATACTGATATCAGGATGCTCAGGCATCTCTGGCAAAGACCAAGGTAAAAAAGGACTTGAGGCCTACCACTAACAGCCAGAATTAACTTGCCAGCAATGTGAATGAGCGAGCTTGGAAAGGAGCCTCCAGTTCCATCAAGCCTTCAGAGGACTGATCATGCCAAAGCCAAAGCTATCTTGCCACACCACTCCAAATTTCCTGACCCACTGAAAACTGTGAGATAATTATTTATTGCTGTTTCAAGCCATTAGGTTTGCAGATAATTTATTATATAACAATAAATAAAACATTGATACAATAAAACAGACAATGCAACAGTGAGTTTAGTATATTCTTCCTAAAAAAAAAAATGGGTATCCAAATGACC